TGGGTGTCGCACCACACAAGGAGAGAAAACGAATGATTACTCGCTTCTTTTGTAACGAAAACGTCGCCATTTTAAGTATCAAAAACTCCTCACACTCGCCGCTACCACTAGAGTTATGTGTGCCGTAGAGTTCTGCCATCTCTGTCACGCATTCACAAAGAGTGCACACGTATTTTAAACAAAACCGCATATGTCTATCTGCTCCCAGTCCTGAGAAAAAAAATCGGAGACCTTAGAACTTGAACGCCCCTCGTACATATAACAGACATTCATTTTGTTTCAGAGTGTGCTGTCAACACGTGTGGTTTGGTCACTTTTAGCATAGGCTATGTGTCTCGCTCTATTTCTACCTGAAAACTAGTTGACTGATTTTTGTGTGAAATTTTGTGTGTTATGACAGTGGAGGTGGCCTCAGCCTCATACTTCATAATTTTCTGCAATCTGAAATAATGTGTCGAGACACATGGTGTTGTGAGATGGGAGCAGTACTACTGATATTTATGTATATAGGATTTCTTTTGAGATCAGTGAATTTAACATTAAACTGAGGAAAGTCTTAAATGGAGATAATTTAACATTGTGATTATTGATTTCAGATCACAGAAATTGTACATTAAATGTAGGAAAGCTTTAAATCAGGAAGCATTATATTGAAGTTGCATTGTGTGTGGTAATAAAACTTCAGAAAGTGTGCAATTTTTGTTAAGGTAATTTTCTGTAGAATGTAAAACAAGTATACAGCAACTGTACAGAAAAATATTTTAGCTTCAGTTTTATAACAGTAGGTAATGTTTCAGCCCACTGATATTATTATGCATAATCTGTATTTATTTCAGTCTACTCTTGAGGACTACGAAAGTATTCCTGTAGTGGATTTTGGTATGGCAATGCTGAGAGGCATGGGTTGGAATCCAGGAAAAGGTATTGGTAGAAATGAGAGGTACATAAAAATTTTCATTACTGTCTTTCTAAAAGTGTTTAATTTACAGGGAAAGACAGTAGTACACCTGCAGGTAAACTTTTCCATTCTTTTATGGTCCTATTTACAAAGGAATATTTGCCAACATCTGTTCTTTTTTTCATACTCCTAATTATCCTACTTTGATCTCAGGTTGCATGGTTTTAGCAGGCTATCCCTTTTCATTTTCCATTGTAAAGGGCACACAATCAGTCAGGCTATCATTTTATGCTGTTCCAAAGTTCCCCAACCAGATTCATTTGCATGATTTGCAAATTTGGCCACCCTTCTTTATACCCAATTTATAGTGCTTACCTGCCATTCTCTGTATGGGTCCCAACATACTGCACCGTGTTCAAGTATTGATTTCACTAGTGACATATAAGCTAGATGCTTCCTTATAATCTTTATATTAATACAGAATATGATGTGATGAGGCAATAATTGGGAACACTTGGAAAATTTGTTTCAGGGTTCCAGAAATGTTCTGTTGAGATAATAAGAAACTAAAACGTAGTGGATAAAATAGGTTACAGTTTTCTTAATTTCTGAGGCAGTGACTCTCCATGGTAGTACAGACACAAGGAATAAGTTGCCTGCACATGGGCTCAGTATTTTCATTCCACTTAAAATTGTGTCCCATTTGTTGTTTCAGTTTCTGTAGTTATACGTTCCACTCTTGCTGTGAAGAATGTGGGAATCATGATAGATGTTAAGAGTCATGATGAAAGTTGGATCAGGAAGGACCAGGGCAAGTCGTCCAGTTTTTTAAGGCATCTAGAAATAATGTGCACTATTGTCTAGATAATGTGGGACCCTCAACGTCTAACAACCCTATGGGCCTTCACGGCCTGGTACAGGGATAGCGTTACTTTTACTTAGTACTGATCTGAACAATAAAATGTATCTTTGAAGGCATATATTGGGGTCAGGGTTTGAGTTATAAAGTGAATGGTTGGAGGAAAGGTGGTGATAGGGAGGGAATGGAAATTGTTATAAGACAGAACTTATTTGTGAAGATGCTATGGCATGTAAACTCATTGCTAGGCAATGATTGCAAAACAAGCAACTATTCAGCAGCCATTGCTAAGTAACAGCTCCAGAGACAAGCATGTTTCCACAGCAGCGAGAGAACATAACAATAATAAAAGAGGTGTTCCATACGCGGTCCATGCCGAGATGTTATAACCAGCACCAGTTAGCAATTGCAGTTACTCCTCTGTGGAGGCGGGTTCAAATACCTCCAACGTAGTAGCCCTGCAAATTGTATGAGGTGACAAACATGGAATCCAATGCCTGGGGGTATAACTGGGCCACCCTGTTCCTGGGAGATATAAATATGGGGGCCTGGGCCTCCAGGTTGAGGGAATCTTGAATTTGAGACAGTAAAATATGGTCATGAGTCCTGTAGGACTCGGACCCAAGAATGACTGCACTGGTGAAGGCCAGCAGCAATTGTAAATGATGGACCCATCCTCTCATTAGAGAGGCCGGCCCACGTCAGTAAACCCACAACTGCCTGACAGTATTAAAAATTTGATCTTGGGCCTCAGATGGATGCTTCACACTACAACCAATGGTTATTTGACCAGTCTTTCTTGGTGTCAGGCATCCATCTGAGGCTGGACGACTTTCCCTGGTCCTTCCTGATTCTGACTAAATCCCAGAACTGCTGGGATTCAGTCAGTGTGATCTGTAGCTGTTAGAAGTTGGCAGCTGAGGCTGGGGACAGTACAGAAACACAGATGAGGGAGATATCAGCCGTTGGAAGCCACTACCAAGCAACGGCAGTGAAAACGTGACTGTGGACACTAGTGTGAATGTGTAATAATGATTTGTAAAGAGTAGTCATGTACTGTTTCCAAGTGCTGTCTACAGCTGCTGTATCACATGACAGTACTGTAGGGTAGTAGTCCATATTGACATATTCAGATCAGCAGTGGAGGTGCTTCAGTTAATTCAGAGGAACTGATGAAGAGTACTTAATCTTGGTTGGGATAACCAGTTCCAGGCTACATCTTTCCTATAGACCTGCAATATTCGAAGACAATGAATGTCCGCTTCAGTGGATATACTTTTCCATGTTTATTGACTTAAATCTTTGTGATGCATGTCTAGTAAACCAGCAGAAATTAAAATTTTCTAACATATAACAGTTTCCTGTCATAAATACTTCTTAATTATCAGGATTGAAGTGATTACTACCAGATCTATTGTTTAGAGTTGCCCAAACAGACCACCCTACTTCTGTAACACTTGAAGTGTAAATGTTCATAATGAATGTGAAGCAAGTACAGTATTTACCAAACCTTTCTTTTAAATGATTCTTCATTGACAGGGTTGTGACAGCAAATATGACTGAACCGCGTCCCAGAGGAGTTGGTTTGGGAGCTGATAAATTGGCTTCTTTGTCTGTACTATCTCCTATACCTCAAGAGGATGGAGAAGAATTAAAAGTAATAAAAGGAGCTTATGTACAGATAATATCTGGATCACACAGGGGACAGTATGGTCAGGTAAGAATCTGGCTACTTCAGTTCCTGTTTTCATGAATTAAAATATAAATATACGTAGGTAAGTCAATAAGTAAGTTACCAATGAATATAGAACTTAAACAAATAAGAGTACTGATTTGAAAAATGCTTTTATTTCTCAACATAATCTCCCTGTACATTGAGGCACTTGTCCCATCATTTCACAAGCCCCTGAAAACCATCAGCATAAAATTGTTTGGGCTGCTGTTAGTGGAAATATCATCTGAATTGATGAAGTGGTCTCACATTATACCTGAAGAAATTTAGAGTTTTGAGGACTGATAATTTGATGGAAAAGTCAGAAAGAAGAATGCAAGAGAATACTGGGTAACTTGACAGTTTCCACACCCATTTTCCCAAGCACTATGAATAAAAACCAATTTAAGGCCTGGGAATACAGTCATTTCAGTGACAGCATCCAACAATCATAGGATTTGGGAAGGATTTTCAAAGTACAGCCTATGTACAAGTATTTCCTGCAGAAATTCAGGTCAATTTACAGCCCAGGAGAACATTCACCAGATTAAGCCTTGATCCTGTGAAGGGGTCACTTAAAACTTAGAACAAACAGTCCAGGGGGGATGGGAAGAAATTGGAGGAGACAGTACTTAATTTTTTTTGGTAAACATTTAGGTCAAAATTATCACATCTACAAAGACAGTTTTTATAATACTGTTAAATTTGGAAGGAAAAAAACCAACTTTGTTGGGTAAGAAGACCACAGTGTATGGCACCATGAGGGTAAACAGAGGCATTCCACCTGACCAAGGCAGCTAAAGATTTGGAAAAAGGGCAGTCATTGTTCTAGAGAAAAATTTATATGATGGTTCAAGCATGGACAGACAGAAAGATCCATGCAAATGAACAGAAACTGGAAAACAAAGTATGAACAGTTTAAGCATGAGGTAGTGATGTCTTGGATATCAGAAATAAAGAATCCAAATGAGTTCAGCTCTGAAGAATTGCAGCTGCCTGAAGAACAAATGACACAAAAGGGTCATAAATGGGACACCCCTAAGCAGACTGTCTGGAGACTTATGCAAACACAAGGTGCAGAGAGTTGTTGCTCCTGGGAAGGGAAAGAAGAATCCTGCAAAACAGTGTAAAGTTTGTTCTGCATACAAAAATCACAGTGAAGCAAGGTAACATGTAAATTCTGTGTTATTTCACTTTACAAAATTTCATGCTTTTAAGGTTCCATTCTGTGAAGTTGTGTTATACCCACTGCAGCCGTTTCTTTTTTCAGTACTGAGGTAAATTGTTTCATCTGGGACTTTAAATATAAGTAAGAATGTATTCAAGGGTAGAACACTGAAATGTCTGTAATGTATCTGGAACTGTGAGTATTTAATGAAAGGGATGCACCAGTTCTCAATGTGTTAAGGTCCTGATTGTGTAAAGACATGGGTTAAGTAATCAGAAATCATTTCCTAAAATAATTTATAGTACATATCAGATGGTGTACAAATCTTCTGGTGGTGAGTGAGGTAAACATTACATCATAGTTTAATCAGTATCTAGGGATGGGTGAGAAATAATCTGTGTGGATGTCATGTGTGAAGATTATGAACAAATTGTAGGTAGATCGTGTTGGGCCCATGTATCAAATTCTGTTTTGAATGGTAGAGAATGGATATGCTGAAAGTTGATAGCATATGATTTGAGTCACCCATGCACCCTCTTTATTATTTTTTTATTATTATTTATTTCTTCCATAGCTGTAGAGAATTACAGTTGGACGTGTCAAATAATAACAGCTTCACATCAAAAATAACATAACATTCACACAGTGATTTATCACTATAATACAGCAGTACTTTTAAAATGCATTTTTAACTTAATTTAAGAATAATAAATACTCCAAAAGAGACATAAGAATAAATATTTTAAACATATAGACAGATTTATTAACAAGCTGTCTATGTCAACAATTATTAATAATAGTAAATACTCCAAAAAAGGCATACAAATAGTCAGACAGGTTTATCAACAAGCAGCCCATGTCAACAATTATTAAAAATTCTTGAAGAGATTAGAAGACATTACACAACAAATAATTCTTAAGTTTCTTCTTAAAAACATTAACATTTATTTTTAATTCAGTTGGAAGGCCATTAAATATTTTGGTTCCCATACTAATCACCCTCTCTTGCTATGCTCAGTATTACAAAATTGTACATACAAATTGTGTTTATGAATAGTGTTATAGCCATGAACATCAGAATATTGGGTGGTATAAATCTTATTTTTTATTATAAAACATAGGATCTCAAAAATATATAAGGAAGTAACAGTTAAAATCTTTAATTCACAAAACGAATTTCTACAGGAAACTCTATTTTTAACACGTTTTACCACCCTTATACATTTTTTCTGCAGTTTAAGTAGAGTTTCAGAGTCCTTTTGCACCCCACCCAAAAAAATAATACCATATTTCAACAAGGACTCACATTTTGCAAGATACACACTTCTTAGTTATATTTGTTTTGATTTGGTTTTATCTGGTTAGTTCATCTTAACTTATCTTCTTATCTAAGGGTACTAAAGTCTATTCTGTATGTCAGCTGACTGAACCAAGTGGTATTAAAGGTTGAGCATATAATTATGCAGCATAGCTACATAGCAGCAGATGTCTAAGGTGTATGTGTTACATAATATACATACAGATACTCCACTCTTGGGTACAGAAAACCCCAGGTATCAGACAAATGTTGGAATTGTGGATGGGATCATTAATGACTAAAATTTTGCTTGACATGAAACTACTTTTAACCTTTAACTGCCTTGCAGAATAATATTGTCTCATATGTAAATGGCATGTATTGAAGTTTAAGACATCCATATCAATTTGTGAACAAATTGGACACCAGTATAATTCAAGTCTTCTCCCCAATATTCTCTTGTTACATTATGTAAAATATTTCCATACTCTTGGAACCACTGTAAGCCACTGATGGTGAGACTTGCATCTTTGAAGCTGTCAGAAATAAGACATAGTTACTGATATGATTGTTAAATCTTACATCTAATTCAACAGATATAGTGAATTTGTAAATTTTTAAATGTAATTATGAACAACTGAAGTTCTAAAGTTATCAGAAAATTATTTTTATAATAGATGTTGTCCTCAGCGATTGTGCTTGATGTAATTCAGTTCAGATTTTACTTGCATATATATGTGTGTGTGTGTGTGTGTGTGTGAGAGAGAGAGAGAGAGAGAAAATTAGTTAATAATTTGCATTTATTTATGAATTTCTTATAACAAGAGTAACTGCTCATTTCTAGATTGAGGGCTTCAATGAAGACTCAGGAAGGGTCATAGTACATTTGTCACGCCATTCATCACCTGTAAGTGTTAATGAGGCTGCTTTCAAGTTAGTAACAAAAGAAGAATTCAGTAAGAATTCGCGTGTTCTGAGTAAGTGTTTTTGTTATTAAAATTTCTAACCTGGTTAAACTGTTCTTTGTTTCAACAGTAACAGATATTAATATTTTAGAGCTCACCCTGGACTTTATATTGAGATGTAGAAGAAAATTATTTGAAGGTACACATCCATGTATTACTGTACTGTCTTGAATGTCCCACATGCACTTTTCTGAAAGAAGCACCACCAAAAATCCTGGTGAATGGCTTATTCATGATGATTTTGGTAGTGGTGCACAGTTTATGACTAGGTTTGTAGTGCTGCACTGCCAGTTCATTATGATAATGGCAACACTGTTCATATGAGTGCCATCTGAACTTCCACATCTTTCTTTTCCTGTTGCATACTGACTTGCAGTCTGTAGTGTAGGAGTGAATGTTAATCTGTGATATAGTGCACACATATTCTGCTAACCATGAGTATTGAAGTTATATTTCCATGATTTTTCACAGATCTTCTTCATCTTCATCATAAGGCTCGACAGCTTCATTTCCTGAAAGCTTTGGCCTGCTCAACAATTTCCTTCCAACTACTTCTGTCCTGTGTGCGAGTTGTCAGTTATAAATTCCTATATCTTTTAGATTTTCCCTTATGTCATCTTACCATCTCATCTTAGGTCGCCCTCTCTTTCTTATAGCGTGTGGCTGCCGGTCATATATTATTTTAACTGTTCGTCCACCCTCCAGCCTTGAGATGTGTCCACGCCAACTTATTCTTTGGGCTCTGATGAAGTTAACTATGTTCCTTTTATTAAATTATCTAGTTCGTCATTTGTTTTAATTCTCCAGGAGCCATCATAATTTCTTGTTATCCTGAAGATCTTTCTTAGAATTTTCCTTTCAAAGACTAAAAGTCTATGTTTAATGGCTTCTTTAAGTGTCCAGGTTTCACAGGTGTAGGTTACTGTTCATCGAATTACCATATGGTATCTTAATTTAGCTGTTTTAGAAATAAGTTTACTTTTAAACAGTGTTAAATGTGCAGCATGTGCTTTATTTGCAGTTCCTGACCTCTCTTTAATCTCTTGTTCAGTTGATTTTCCACAGATAGTGCATTTAATAATTCAAGAGGCTGAATATATGTAAACCAGTAATTCCACTGCTGTTGGAGAATGTGATTTATTTTAGTGTATGTGTGTGTATGCATGTGCATTCATGTGAATTGCTTCTTCCATAGCTTCTCTTTGATGTGAATCACAGGTGCTAGTATAGTAGAAGAAGCTCATCGACATCTTGCTAAGAGAGTCTGAATGCAGTCTTGCTGTCTTCCTGCAGTAGCTGCTAATAGAAGTCATACCAATAAGTCCATCTACAGTGAAGTAACTGTTTTGTGGTTGTTACACATAGCACTACTTCTGTAGCTGTTCCCTCAATATGTGGTTATGTGTCGTGTGTTGGTGAAACCCTTCTATGATTGCTCATCTTTGTGACAGTCACAATTGTACCCCTTTAATGATGCTCACCTTGCACTGCTACATCCAGACCTCATCTTGCTTGTTGTTCTGCTTACTCCTTCCACTCCTCATTGCTTAAGAAGTATGTAATTGGGAAGGGAGGAGAGTGGTTCAGGATTACATGGTTTTCAGACTTTGTCCATTGTTCTGTATTCTAGAAATCAGAAAACACAATGTTTCGGAAACCGGACCTGTTTCCATCCTCAGGTGAGGGGTTGAAGACACCTCCTCTATTGGGTCCCTTAAAAAGATCTAGCCTCAATCACTGGACAACCCCTGTCAGATTCATTACAGCTATTTAATTACCTGAGACCAAACTGATTCAAAGGGAGATAAGAAACTATGCAATAAATATTGTGATAAAGCACCCACATGTGTGAAGCTTGGATTGGAAGGGGGGTAGAAATTTATGCTACAAAACTAGCAAACAAAACAAAGCAGATGAGCATCATTGCCTGTGGGGATGATATCCTGAGATTTGCATCTCAAGGGGAAAATTATATGATTGAAGGTTTTGGCTAGCTGAATTTTTAGGCATTCTGATTTCCTAAAGGAAGGGTCCATACTGGTTGTGCAAGTAGATCCTAAAGGGTTCTGACAATGGTGTATATTACTCAGAATTACTGGGTTTTCAGACTCTGTCCATTGTCCGGTGAGTGTGGTTGTTTGGGCTCTAGTAAGCATACAACTGGGATGGTGTCTGCTCAGGTGAGTTATTTGGGTTAGCCAGTATGCTCAGGTAAGCTCCAGTCTCAGGTCATTAACAGGCTTTGCTCTGGCAGAACAGGAAGACACTTATACTACCAAACTTTACACTAATGTACGAGTAATTTCACTCAAGATAGTATTTATTGTTCACTTTGAATTATAATGGCGCAATTTAGTTACTTTAACTTCAAGTATCACACTGTAATACTGTTGTTATTGTATTATTGGTACCTTCTAATAATTTACTTCACTTCTACTTTACTAAGTGAAACTTGTATAAAGTTGAACAGTGAACAAGTTATAGCTGTAACTTTATGTATGATGGCATGATGTAGGTTCACGTCCACAAACTTCAGAAGTTGGAATATGACGATGAATCTCCTCCCTCAAACAGGCCTTATTGGTCCAGTTCCAAATTTGAGAGTCCACTAGAAATTTACATTTCCAAGTGATATAGATTTTCTGTGCAATTCTAGCCCTTAAAGCTTCAACAGCACCTTTAACAGAAGCCTGATGAGTAATGAGCTTGGCTTGGGCTCCTGGCTGTTCCACTCTCACTTTATATCTTGGCCTAGCTGTTATGTCTCAAATTACCAAAAACATGCTGATGTAGCTGAAACAGCTAAAAGTCGTGAGAAAAGCAGCAGATGCTACATCATGTCCATACAGCAAGAATGAGCTTATGGCACTTTCTGAATGTAAAAATGTGACTATCTGCTTTCTCTTTACTTATGATCTATAGCTCATAATTAACTGATCTTAATTAACATAATTTATGTTAACCCTAATTCTAATGAATGGTCACAGAGTGACCCTTACAAATATTTATAAGAATTTGTTTTACTCTTCATTACAGATGTGTCCAGTTACGAAGAGTACAAGCAGAAAACAGATGTCAGTCGTGAAGTGGCAAGGCATGGCAAAAAGAGACATGCAAATTAAAAACTGACAAATCATTCAAGTCACTGATTGAAATGATGCTGTAACTTATCATATACAAAGAAGAAGAGAAATGTACATGTACTTGAACTGTCATTCCATGAAGTGCTTCAGAAAACCTGTATGAGTAACCCATCAGTGAAAGCATTGAAATCCCTCAGTATAATTTTTAAATATCCCATTAATTCTTGCAGTGACATTTCTAAATTGGCATAATAACAATCTGTATGAAATAAATGAAAGATACAAGGTCTATTCGGAAGGTAACCTCCAGTGAGCTGTTAACAAAATTAAAAGAAATATGTACAAAGAATACATACATACATGAGCTACTTTTCAGCATAGTCACTGTTGGAATTGAGGCACATGTCATATTGGGGAATAAGTTTTTGTGTGCTTGTATCAAAAGTCAGCCACGTCTGAGCTCAGCCACATTTTAACACCTTCCATCAACTCATTATTGTTGAAGCGCTATGATCCCATCCAGTTCTTCAGGTAGATAAACAGGTAGTAGTCGCTGGGAGCAAGATCAAGGCTGTAAGGAGGGTGGGCAGACAGCACCCAGTTGAAATGCTCCAGCAGTGCTCGAGTGTGAGCAGCTGTATGTGGATGCACATTGTCGTGGAGGAACACTGCACTGAATGTCAGCATTCCATGTCTTTCGTTCTGAATGGCCCTGTGCAGGGTTTTTTTTTTGTGCTTTGCAGTACACTTCTGACATTATTGTGATCACATCATCAGCACTCCTTTTCTGTCCCAGAAAACAGCTGTCATCAGCTTCCTGGCAGGCATGCTTAAAAATGAAAGCTGAATCCATTCTCTGCATATTGTGCTCACCCATGATCATTTTCGGAACACATTTTTCGTAAAACTTGTGATATCCTAGCCTGTGATAATCTTGTAGAGAACAGTGTGTGAAATTTGTGGAAATTCACACAAAAGTTCTGAAATTGTGAAGCTGAGTCTTTCGCATACTTTTTGGTCAATATTTTGAACAAAATAATCACTCACTACAGATGGCTGGCTCTTCGTCATGAGCATTTGTTTGTCTACCCATCTTTGAATATTCTACACCATTTTCTCACAGTTCCTTCCATTATTACATTTTGGCCATAAACTGCACAAAATTTACGATAGATTTCTGAGGCGCACATATTTTTAGCAGACAGACAAGAATAAACACTAGGTGACCAGTTATGTGATGGTTTACAAGGTTACCTTGCGTGCATGAGCTCTCCTCCACTTTTACATTAGATGCCTAAAATAAACGGAGCTTACTTTCTGAATAGTTCTCATATTTTCACTGCTCTTTCACACAAGACTAATTTATAATTTTACCTTATTTGTAGTGTTGTAACTGCCAACTGTCTAGAAAATGTGGGAGCCTTGGCATATCACAACCCTGTGGGCCTCAACAGCCTGTATACATATGTAGCAGTGGGAATCTGATAGAATTTCAGATTTATGTTGTAATTTTTGGAACAACCATCCAAACACAAACTGGCTTCAAGGTCAGGACACCAGTAACTTGATACATTCCTCTCCCATTTTGAATATACCACACACACTGTTTCTGAGGTTTACATTTCTTTGTGGTGGCAGAAATCCTATCCATAAAGTAGTCTTCACTGAATCATTTGGAGGTAGTTCAAGTGAAGGATGCCTGTGTACAGGACAAGTTGTGCCAGACCCATGTTTTTCTATGAGTCTTTTGATGAAATGTGGTCAGAGTGTGGGAAAATCTGCTGTCATGTTTGCTAGCAGAAAGCACCATATTACATACCACTTGGAACCCTTGTTTTTGAGTAGTTATGGTTGTAACATGTAATCTTTTGGTTAGCTCCTCACGTGTGAATCAGATGTAACAGGCCATATTATTTTCTTACCTCTCTACTGACACACATCTCAGTTTGTGTGGTATGTGGAGATTATTGATATACTCTTCTTATGTCAGGCCAGAACTCATGCATCTTTTGAATGCTGACCAAACCATTTTGCCTTTTTCAGTTTTTGGCCCCCACAAAGGGCCATGGAATAACAAACTGAGGAGTAAAGACAAAGAATCGCTGATAGATAAATTTTCCGACATTATATTAAAAATTTTAAAAGAAAATGTGCCTGAAATAACCAGTTTTTAGATTAATATCATGGATCAGTATCCCACACCTAGCACATGAGCTGTACATTTTCTTTTACCTTTCAGTTCTAGGTATTGGTGTAGATGGGGTTTTCAACTCTAGCAGATACTAAGTCAAAATCATGTAAGTATGCATTCTGTTTCTGGGCTGACACTGACACATCTAGAGAGCAATACTGATAAACATTTAACAGAAGGATAAGTGCAGGGTTCTTATGAATGCAAATCCTTCTCATGGCCACCATGGCATAAAGAGAAGCTTTAGTAAAACAGTCTCTTACTGATCTTTTTCATTCATCTTTGTATTTTAAAAGATATTTTTGTATTTTATTCAGAAACTTTAGATATAGATTAAAAATGTGTTAAATGATGAATGACTGACTTGATCATTTTAACCTCTCTGGTTATGATGGTGATGTTTAAGTTTCATTTTTTTGGTGTTATATGAGGGGGAGTCAGTAAATAGGTCACAAATGGATATAAAATGTAAAACATGCTATTCAAAGCTGGAAAAACATCTTTTTCTTGACATATCTTCCACCAACACTGATGCACTTGTTCCATCACTTTACCAATGCATTGAAACCCGCAGCATTGAAGTCTCTTGGCCACTTCTGCATATCCATTTCAACCACTCTGTCATCAGTGAAATGTTTACCCCCAAGGTGGAACCGCTTTATGCGACAAACACTTCTCAACATAAACAGCGAACATTTCTTTATGGATATCCTTTGCCCTGAGTCCTTTTACATACAGAAAATGCACAACAGATGCTACTCTTCAGTAATGCACTCCTCAAGAATGGTCACCATTTTGACTACTGAAACCAGCCTTTGAACATTTGTGTCTGCTGCCTAAACTCATGAAGCTGGACTGTGGTGCTACATAGTGATATGCATAGAAGACATATTACAGTCATTACAGCTGTTTTACTTCCATTTGTGACCTATTTACAGACTCTCCCTCATATTTACATATAAATACATATTTGTCTTAAGATTTTTTTTGTATACAAGAGCTTATTCAAAAACACAATCTTGTTATATTATTATACTACTCTGTCCAAAAAGTATCCCACCTTGGGCCGGGAAAAAAAAGTTCTGTATCTTGGTGGTTACAGTACCTAATCCCCTTCAAAGTAGGCTCCTTGTGACTCCACACACTTAGCCCAGTGGTCCTACCATCGCTGGAAGCAATTCTGGAATGCTTATTTTGGAATGGTATGCAGCTGCGCCGCCACGTCCAGCTGTGTTGCGAATCAGCAAAAAATCGCATGTACATGAAAGTCTCTTCTACCGCTACACTCAGTTTCCGCACCCCTTTGGCCATTACTTAGAGTGGCAAAAAATAAAGTCTGATAATTTTTGGACAGCGGTGTACAGTATATAAGACTAAAAGGTGGAACTGTACTTATTTATGTTACTTACATATTCACATAACTGAAATACACATCTCTCATGTTGTAATCTTGGCTGGAGGTGCACATAGAAATACATTCTAAAGTGATATGCAGCTTTTTAAAGGGTGGTCCACATCTTCTTGGTGAAATTTTGCAATAGTCTGCAACTGAAGAAACGTTTGGAACAGCTAGTCTACAGTGCCATCCTAGGGAGATCATTTTGGTACACTTTGACAGATGGCCACTGTATATTTGATCTGCTTGGGATGAGCAGCCTTGAGGAGGGCACATTTTTGCAGGAGCTGAGCATAATGGAATCACATCGCTTGGCATGTGCACTCCTCTTCTATCTTTCACACTGTTTGAGAAGCTGCTTATCTAATGCTGAGGTCTTAGAATGCCCCAGCACTCATGAGAGACTTCCAATAGAGTATCACATCCTAAGTGAACACCTCTCACAGAAGTTGAATTAAGTGCTGTGCAAAGACAGATGAGAAATTAATGAGTTCAGTGAGTGAGTTGTGAGCCAGTCTGCAGTTTGATAGTGAGTCAGTGAGTTGGAGTTTTAATTCTCTTTCAGTTTATGTAAGTTTTGAGGTTTTCACGGCGATGACAATGAAGAAAGTTGTCTTCTGGGTTTAGGCACCGTGTATTCTTCGTTTTGGCCGACGTTTCGGAAACGAAGAATACACGGTGCCTAAACCCAGAAGACAACTTTCTTCTCTTTCAATTTGGTTCACTGCAGAGCAGAGAAACTGAAAGAAGAGGTGGGTGCAGTGAGTAGGCATTGGCGTTGTGATAAAGTAACAAGTGGGTGAGGAATTTACATTGAGTGATGATACATGGCAGTATAGTAAGTACTGCAGGTATTGATAACTTGCAATATGCTTTGGTTTGCTGACATTCTTTATTGTTTACAAGCCATAAATATATCAATAATATCAGGACACTTCAGTGTTGTTGCTTTTTATGCAACCTTTATAATACCTTAGTGATGGGTTTTGTAATGTCATGTAATGTGTGTTTTGGATTCGTATTGTGACGTTTATCATGTTTGAGGAGAGTTATTATATTACTCTCAGTACTCATTAGGATGGATGAGGTGGGCAGGTCATGTAGCACAAATGGGGGAGCTGAATGCGTATAGGATATAGGTGGGAAAGGCAGAAGGAAAGAGACCACTGGGAAGACCAAGGCGTAGGTGGGTGGACAATATTAAAATGGATCTTAGAGAGATAAGATGGGATGGTATGGATTGGATAGGTCTGGCTCAGGATAGGGACCAGTGGAGGGCTCTCGTGAACACGGTAATGAACCTTCGGGTTCCATAAAATGCTGGGAAATTCTTGAGTAGCTGCCGAATTGGCGGCTCCTCCAGAAGGGCTCAGCTCCATGAGTAAGTAAGTAAGTCATTAGGATATTGATGTCAGCTTGTTCAGTCCACCGCTGTTTCATTGCACTGATGCTGCACTGTCTCTTGCCTTCTGTAGTGAACTCGTGATTTACAGCACACCATGCACAATCACTGTATGTCACTTTACACTCAGAATCAGACAGACTGATGAACTTCACAGCAAGTTTTATATAGGTGAAGCCTTTGTAGAGGCATTTTATGGATGCCCAGCAGTCCACACCCATTGTTGTGTGTTGGGTGGTTCTTGAAGGGTGGAGAAGCCACCAGGTGGGGAGGCTAGAAGTGTCAGGAATGAGAGATGTATGTAAGCTGTCATGTAACTTGCCTCCACCCTGCCCAATCAATATTGTATGCAGAGCCTTTTCCCTGCAGCAATGGATACACATACTGCAATAGAGGTACTGTTGGGAAGGGTGTGTACCACCTGGTCCTTGCATAGGGGATATAAAGACAATTGAAGCAAGAATAGGCAACACCATGTGGAGGTGAGGTTGAATACTTCCAGTGTCGCCCTGCGAGTTGGAGACGACGAAAAGGGCTCAGATCTGAGACAGTAAAATATGGTCACAAATCCCACAGGACTCAGACTCAAGAATGACTGTGCTGGTGAGGGACAGCAGCAATTGTGCATATCAGATTTGTCCTCTCATCAGAGAGAGTGCCCCACATCAACAAACACACAACTGACAGTAATAAAAATCTGGTCATAAGGCCCAGATGGGTGCTTTATTCCAAGACAGACTGGCCGGTTGACCATTGGTTGTAACATAGGACTCAGGCTCAGAAAAGCATAGGCAGTTGGAAAGGAGCCGATGGTGAGAGAGGACTTGAGCAGGGAAGCAAAGGAATAGCTATTGCTAGAAGCTGTTACTAGCAAACGTCTAATGAAGACATTGGAGGCTGGAAAAGACTCAGTGTGATATGCAAAATGTGGAAATTAGCGATGGTGCTATAATTAAGTGTAATTTACAAGCTGTGTGTTAAAGTGATCAATAAATTTAATACAGAGCCCTGATGAGAGTCACACTAACAAATCTGACGTTGTAGGTTGACGTGTAAAAGGTTGTATACAAGAATTTGGAAGTGTTATTTATAATTCATTGAAGTAGTTGTAAACAAAAGTAAGAGGATGAATATGGACGTCTGTGATGTAGATGTGTTTTTCATTAAGTTTGCCCTAGTGTAATAATGTAGTTTGTATGTCTCTGAGTATGCCATGTATATGTATGGGGGTGGAGATATTGCTCTACCATTCTTGACCTCTGCACTAGATTGAGGTGAGTGGTTAGCGTCATTCCCCAGCCACTTTACCTCCAGGGAAAGAAAGTCCCCATTAACCATTGGATAGGCCACAGAGCCGGTTTGTGCGATGTGAAACAGAAATTTCCAGTCGCTCCAGTCTGCTCCAGTCCTTGGCGGGAGTCTAGCCGATAGCCCATCATACCAATTTCGTTATCCGGGTTTTATGTGTGATAAACGGTGATAAATTTGAAGTCGTCCATTTCAGTAAAGGAATTTGGGATTAATGCAGTTCAAATGTTTGTCCTTTATAGTAACTGCTGAGAAACTTTCTCGTGATAAATATGAGTGAAGCAGTTGTGGCGAATCAGGTTACACGACTCGTTTTTAAGAACGGATTAAGTTCCTTTCCAGTACAAGGAACTGGGTTTGCAAAATTGTAAGGATTAGGTTAGGTTAGGTTAGGGTTCTTGTTAACTTTTGCTGTAACCAATCTTTTTACCGACTGAACTGCCGGTGTCTGAATGGTTTGTATGACTTCAAATGCAGTACACATTTCCAATCAATGTCAATATGTGGTTCAGATGAGCGACGGTGCAACATTTTAAAAGTATTAAATGCGTAATTGAAATGATTTGTGCGTACGTAGTTCAATTTATTCCCTCGCCCGGGGTTTTATATGTTACTGGTGCATGCGTAGTAATTCTTCATGTTTGACGGCCTTAAAGTTGATTATCTATCATCTGTGATCCGTACCGGAAATTGATGTTCTCCTTGGTCATGTGTGTAAAATTTGAATTTCCGCCAGACGAGTTTGTTTATTATGTGTAGTATGAGTGGTTAACGGCGAGCACGTGCAGAATAAAATATGAAGAAGTCAAAGAAAGATAGGAAGTCTAGTGAAGCAGCAGGTCAACAGGATAGCAGTGAACCTGTAGCCGGTACATCAGATGCGAATGCAACTGAACAAATCATATATACAAGTCCTATAGCAAAGCCCATGGCATCTTCAAAATTAACAAAGAAAATCCGGAAATTAATTAAGTCTGGTGAGTGCTTATAATGTTGTAACATTGAAATTTGTTTTTTAATAATTAATTAATAAATTGAACAATATTAATGACTGCCGGTAGCCATTCCACCTCTTAATTGAAAAGCAACCGACATTGAACAGAAGTAACCAAACTTGATTGCCTGACCGAAATTATGCCCAAAATAAGCATCGTAGGATATGAAGGAAGCTTTAATTTTAAAGAAAAATCTGCTGCAGTACTCGTCTCTAGACAACGTATTTTTGATTATATATATATATATTTCATGCAGGACTCCAGAAGTGAAGTTGGAGTTCATGAAGATATCAGAGGCTACAGAGAAAAAATGAGCATTTACGTTAAAGTACAAAACAGAGTGAATACAATCAGATATATTCACAAATGTTATTAGAATTAGAACTGAATTTAGTTTTTGTAGCACAAAACCAAATATATAGAGCACATCATATCTGCTGAATACAAATATAAATAAGTGATTGCCACAGTTGTTTACAGACCCCTTATTGTATAAGGATATTGTACACATCAAAATTATGATTTTACAAAAATACAGCAGCCTCCCAGTTAGCCAGGGGTGAGTGGGATAATCAGAAACCCAACATAATCAGTAAAAGGAATATGCAAGTAACCTGAGAATGACACATTCCTAATTGTATTTTATTCAAATGCTGTTAAAAAATACGTGTGACCTCTGAGAAGCCCTTTGTCATTACAACACATTAAAATGAAATACCAAACAAAGAAAGCCTTTTTGAGTTTCAAAGTATACATAAAATGCAATGAAACTTCATTTTATACTTGTTCTTTTTTTAAATCAATTTCACATGCAGTTTATCTTCTAATGTTGTACACACCAGCGAAGCTTTTAAATGAAGCCCCAGGATAACTTGTAACTCCAGTTATCTGCAGTCTAGATAATCTGTCCCATTTTTAATCGATAGTATGCTGTATCTTCACAAATGTATACAGTACCTATAAATTTTCAATTTAACTACTTTTTTAGGGAAGTAATAGTTGTTGGATGAAGGATAATATGTTAATGGTGTTTTAAATACTTCTCTATGATGATTTCAGTTTTTAATGGCTGATGGAAGTTTATTGATAGCATGATCCCTGTATTGTATAGTCTTTTCTGATATCTTGTAAGGTTAGTATTCATCATATGGAAATATGTCATGCATGTTTGAATTTGTTTCAGGGTATTCCATGTTGTTGATAGTGAATGACAGTAACACAAGTACTATAATTAAGGGTGGTTTAGATGGATTTAATTTTATGTTCTTTATTCATATGGTTGTATTTCAATGTCATTCTCAAGGACTAGTGTATTATGGAGAGGATGTGTGTGGGCCAAAATGACCTGGGGAGCTATACTTCAGGAGCATAAGCTCCTGGTAAAGCCAGTCATGCCAGACAGGACAAAGGATAGGGACCAGATGAGTTGTAGTCTCAGATCCTCCAGATTTGGGGTTCAGCATGGGGATAACACCCCACCCTAGAAAAATCTTTTATTACAACACCTCCAGAGTGATGGAAGAGGCCAGGACCTGCATCAAAAAAGGGTTGTAGCACAAGTAAAGAAGAAGATATTTCAATTTGTAGGTTGATATGAATGTGTTACCCTGTTTTGTACTTTACCAAACTGCTAGTCAATAGATGTTAACATTTCTAACTTGAACAGGGTAGTTCTAATTTCCTAGGAGCCCTGTGAAAGACCCTCATTGAATCAGACTATTGTATAAAATACTGTGACATGACAGCTGAAATCTGGAATAGTGGAATTTGTAAATGTGGTCATTGCTTGGAAACTGAAAGGTAAATGCATGTCTGTGGTAAAGGACATGCACGAAGCAATGGAAGAGGTGTTGGATGCGGTATTTTCTGTGTGATCTGTGTCAAGGCTATATAACAAGGACATCAGCTGACATGAGAGAGTGAAGTTAGTGATGTGTGTGTGTGTGTTTGAAATGGTTAGTTAGTGATCGTCTGCTCAAGTCACTCCCAGTAGAAGGGGAGTGACTAGTAATAGTCAGACCCCTATTCTTGTCAAAGAGGAGGCGCCATTTAAAAACAAAATACTTATGGATAGAAGAAAAATATTATATCATGTAAATCCATTGCTAAGCAATGCCTGCAACATACACACACACACGGTCCAACATGCGACAATATAACAACAGGGTTATGCAACCTGTTTCTAGACAACAGCTCAGTAAACACACTTCATAGCATGTGCAATGATGTCACACCCCAACAGTTCTTAGCTATCAGGGACTTGTGTTTTCTGTGTGGTCTGCAGTATAACTGTGTTTTCTGTGTTGTCTGTGCCGTGGCTATATAACATGAGTCCACTTGAAACTGAGAAGAGACACCCGTGTGGAGGCGGGGTCGAATACCTCTACCGTGACCATGCGAATCGTAGGAAGCAAAAAAAAAGGTAGTCTCAAATCTGAGACAGTAAAATATGGTTGCGAGTACCAAGGGACTTGGACCCGAGAAAGACTGCGCTGGCAAGGGCCAACAGCATGCACAGAAGACAAACCCATCCTCTCGTCAGAGAGGGCGCCCCAGAAGAACAAGACCATAACTATCAAACAGTAATAAATATCTGGTCATGAGCCCGAGGAGGGTGCTCGACACCAAGACTTACTGACTGACTGGCCGTCAGTCGCAATGTGACTTTGACTTTGACTTTGACCGAGAAGAGAGAAGACAGTCCCCTGTATGGAAGGGGGGTTGAATACCTCCACTGTGACCCTGTGAGTCATAGGAGGCAATGAAAAGGGAAGTCTCAAATCTGAGACAGTAAAATATGGTTGTGAGTCCCAAGGGACTTGGACCTGAGAAAGACCGCACTGGCAAGGGCCAGCAGCATATGCAAAAGACAGACCCGTCCTTTCATGAGAGGGTGCCCCACAAGAACAAGACTGTAACTGTCAAATGGTAATAATTAATATCTGGGGCTTGACACCAAGACTTACTGACTGACTATCAGTCACAATGTGACTTTGACTTTGACTTTGACTGAGAAAAGTTTTAGTTGAGTTCTGAGGTTCCAGGGTGACTGAACAAGAAATGGCAAGAAGACTTTGTAATGATTTGAAATGCTAGTTTCTGTTTTGAGATCTGTTGCTAGGAGATGACTAGTGGAAACTGAGAATCCTAGTGCATGTGCAGCAGTGAACTGTAAATTGTGTAAATCAGCAATAGTGCTATATTAATTGTAATGAAGAGAGATCATAACAGAAGTGCCAGTAAATCCAATCATCCAATCTAGAAACCGTTATTTTCATCAGGCGTACCTCTCTACACATGACAGTATTGTCATGTGTAGTGTGACTTATAAGACAGGTTTTGGATTGTATGATTGGATTTATCGCACCTTATACATTCACACAACTTGAGACTACAGACAGTACATTGTTGTTGCTATTATACATGCTTTCCAGTTCACCATTACACACACACTAGTGTTCTCAGTCTTCACTTGTCGTATCCTGGCAACGGATTTATCACAGTCTCACTGTAATTTCAAATCACACATGAAGTCTTCTTTTCACAGTCTGATTCATTTCTTGCCATTATTCTGCAACTGCCAACTTTGAAGACTCAACTCTGTTCAATTCCTCTGCTCTCAAGCTCATATCCTGGGAGGTTGACATCCTGAAACTTGACTCTTCACTTCTGGGATGTGGGGGAAACACGCAAACCAGGGGCTTATGGCAGTCATAACTGAAAAGTAGGCTACGAACGTGAGGGGCAAGCTGCCGTAACAGAACAAAGCACCCTGGACAGACATACATTTATGAACAATGGATGACACCCCGTGTGAGGTGAAATAAAATGCACCAAAATAACGTGGGTATAATAGAAACTTTGAAAAGAGGACTACAGCGTGTGATTTTAACACGGACTAAGACAGTGTAGCAGTTTTAATAAAATATTTGTAACATTTCAAGACACCTGAAGATGGCCATTTGGGGCCGAAACATGTAGTGTCAAAGTGTATAAGTGTTGCAGTATTGACGGGCGATGAATACATGGATGTTAAGATTGAGACTTAGTTTATCCAGTAGTAATTTGTAATGTGTAGATAGATGAGAGTGTTATAATTATTCATTGTTACGCATTGTAAGCATTCAGTAAATCCAGTTATCAATCTAAACTGTGTCTCGTCACTAACATGTGACAATATAATGATTTTAATATCCATGATCATCTGAATTATATTCATAATTCATGATTAATAAAACTGTTACACATGTGAAGACTGCCTCTGTGATCTAGTGGTCAGAGTTCCTGGCTACAGATCCAGAGGTCCTGGGTTCGATTCCTGGCTCTCCCTAATTTTCTGAGAAGTAGTGGGTCTGGAACGGGGTCCACTCAGCCTTGTGAGGATAATTGAGGAGCTTCGGTGTAGAAAACTAAATTAACGGCCGTGGGGACTCGTTCTGACCACGTGACACCCTCTGTCCACTAAAGTTGGCACTAACATCACTGACAAGCAGCGGTCACTTGGTTGTTACACTTGTGAAACTTGAGGGTTTCTTAATGGTGAAGATTCATATTATGGTTGTCTCCATTATAATACTGTGTTGTAGTCTGGTAGGTGGGTATCTGTTTTGGAGGAACATATTGATTCCATCCTCAGTGTTGAAGAGTCTTCAATCCTGAAGATGGAGCCAGGATGTTCCTGTAAAAGTTAGGTACCTACCTATGAGACTATGACACGAGCTCATGGTCTGAGGGACTGCAATATGGAAATTATTACATATAGTTGTGTTGTATATGGTTATTGCAGGTTTGGCTTTAAATGAAAAGACATATCTTCGGAATGGGTTGAGGGATGTTCAGTCAAGCATTCGCAAAAAAGAAAAAGGGTAAGTGTATGTTTTTGTGTTTTATACAGGGAGAAAAAAGTTATATAATGTAACAGTGGTAGAAAAAGGAACAGACACTAGATTAAGAGCACAGTCTTATTGAGGTAGAGAAACAAGCACTGGTTATTTCATTGGCTTTTGCTGAAAGTTTCAACTTTGCAACAAAATGCTCTCAGAATGTCCATATTTTTTAGAATGTGATGGCAAGAGCTGACATTTTCTGATGATTATAACTTCTACGGAAGGTCCTTAGAGTAAATAATTAGAGTATCTAAACTTGCATCAGGAAGTGGGAGATAATGTAATTTCATTTTTAAGAGAGGAATTTTCTAGAAACTTCCCTGTTATTAAAACCATTCCAACCACTGAAACTGAAATTAGTAATAAGTATAATACACTGATATGTTGGGTTTTTGGACTTTATCCATCGTCCTGGTTTTTAAGATAACAAAATAAAAATNACACCATCGTCAGAATCCTATAGTAACTACAAGTATAATACATTCCCTCAAAACAAAAAACTCTTCAGGTTATGATAGAATAACAAGTAAATTTTTAAAGTTTGTGCATCTCTAATCAGTTGCCCATTAACTCACATCTGTAATCACTCACTATCCACAGGAATCTTTCCTGATCGTCTTAAGATTTCATAGTAAGACCACTATATAGAAAAGGGGACAAGACTAGTATGTTAAACTATGGGCCAATTTCACTGCTGACTACTTACTCTAAAGTACTTGAAAAAGTTATGCTCAATAGGTTAAGCCATTATTTTCAGAGTAACAATATACTAGTGCCAGAAGAGTTTGGCTTTAGGAAAGGAATTTCCATTGAAAATGCAGCCTTTAAGTTAACAGCCAGTGTGTTGAAATCTATTAATCAAAAATTGCATGTTGGTGGAATATTCTGTGACTTCGCAAAGGCTTTTGACTATGTAAATCATGAAATTTTATTAACTAATGTTATATTTTAGCGTTCTGTTGCACTGAGTCACGTCCATGATGTGTATTTGTATCAACCGTCTTACAGTGCACACAATTTCACCTCTCTCTTCACTACATGTTTTTGCACTAATGTGCTATCTTCAGGTGTGGTTTTATTTATGTCAAACCATTGCACTGTATGCCATCATGTCTTCTTTATAAAATATTGAAAATATATATGTATCATATATAATAATAAAGTTTATATATTAAAACTTTTCAAGATTTATCATCTATAGGTCACACTTCAGATTTTGTGAGTTGCATCAGTCCTCTCCTATGGGAGTGCTCTTCCTATATTCTTGTGTATATTGAGTCCTGTGTTGTGTCCTTCCCTTGTGACTGTGTGCGTTGTATTGCTCAATAATGAAAAATGTATAGAAGAGGCAGTAAACACAAAATTCCTTGGCTTGCAAATTGATAATCATTTAAACTGGAAAAACCATATTGATCAGTTGATTCCAAAGCTAAGTAGAGCATGTTATGCAGTTAGATTCATGTTACATATTAGTAACATCGACACTCTCAAATCAATCTGTTTTGCTTACTTTCACTCTTTAATGAAGTATCGAAAATTTTTCTGACAGTAAAAAGGTATTTAAATTGCAAAGGAAAATTGTTAGAATCATGATGGATGTCAAATCCCATAATTCCTGTAGAGATCTCTTTAAGAGACTACAGATTTTAACTTTTCCTTTTGAATATATATATTCATTAATAAACATTATTACGAATAATGAAGAACATTGTCAGACGAATGCGGATGTACACAGTGTTTACACAAGACACAAACACTATCTTCATAAACCAATTGCTAACCTCTCATGCTTTCATAAAAGTGCATATTATACTGGGATCAACATTTTTAATAACCTGCCATCTGATCTCGAAGGTCTTATGAATGAAAAGGCATGATTTAAAATAGCACTGAAGTGATACTTAAATAGACATTCATTCTACTCTGTTGATGAATACCTATTGTCTAGAAAATAACTTATGTATCTTTAAATAGCCTTGTGTGTAGTCACTCTGTATTCTTGGTCTCTTTTGTGTGAGAACTCCATTGGGACTGTACATATTTTTTGAATTTATATGACATATTGCACATCCTACAGTCATTTTGACTAACTTCAGATCCATGGAATGCAATGTAATGTAATGTAATATGATTTATTTTACTTATTTTGATGTGAGGACCCATCCTATAAAATATGGCATATAATTATAATAATAATAATAATGAGACAACGTGTGTGTGTGTGTGTGTGTTCGCATGCATGTGTGCATTCATCCTTATATAACCACCAAAGTCTGTCTGTTCCACCAAGCTCTTCCCAAAGGGTACATCGTAGAAAAAAATTGATAAAAATAGAATGTGTTCCCTGGGAAGATTCTTAATCTTGCTGCTGTGTGCATAGGTTCAAGTCCAAGCCAACTTTCCCATTCCTCAATGAGAAAAACATGGGGATCTTGACAAAAATAAATATGTAACCTTTGCTAACCGTGATGAGGAGACAGCAGTGGAATTGTGACAAAATAAGTACATAGACGTGTATTTTATAGTGATTATGGTAATGAGATGTATTCACTAAGATTATAGTATGATATACAATGAAAATAGTTCTTGCAACTGCAGTGCAGATTTTAATGCATGTAAACACTGGTGTATATGAATTGGTTGTTGCCTATTAGAGCTACTTGGGAAGGTGGAGTGTGGATTGTACATTCTATGAGATGCACTTTGACACTGTTGGCATTCCCGCAGCTAAATGTTTTCTTTTCAAGAAACACCACTTCTAATAATGATGAGTTCCAGAATTAAAGTAAATAACAAAATTGTTCAATTTGATTGCTTTTTGTGGTATTTCATTCCTGGCAATACAGGATTTGCTTTCTTCTATAATTAGTATCATTTGTATTACATTTGGGCTCAATCATGGTGTAAATATGCCCTTGGGGACCTAATGACTGTTTATAGCATTATATGTATGGAAAATACATTTCAATGTCCTCAACAAAGGACTTATACACTTCTGGAATGCAGCCCATTCTTATAAGCTGTGGACTGTCTTTATTCTGGCATGAAAGTTGGGAGGGGATGGGGTGCATCATATTTGAGCTTTTCCTTTCACATTTTTATTCATAAGTTGTGTGTCCTCTTCTGTGTAACGCTAATATACAGTATAGCCATCAGTTTGTTTATCAGTACTGATGTTTTATTGTAATATTATCATGCTACATGGTTCAGTCTTTCAACCATCATCAGGTGTATTCAAGATAATAAATTATGTCATTATTGACTACTAAACTGTATTTGCAATGGATCTGTCATTAGTCTTGTCGTGTAAGTACAAACAATACATACTAGTATATGTACATACAAGTACTCAATGCTTTTTATATATAAATACAATTATAAGTGAACTGTCCATCATCATGGGTAAAATTCTTGAAATGTTATTATTTCTTAGTTTTTAAAGGGTTGTCTTGTTTTAATAATGTGGGGGTTGTTATGGGTGGAATTGGGTGGGGTTAAACTGTGACTGTTTTTGGAATTCTTTTTTGAGGCGAGTGGTTTTTATGGGTGTCTTATTATTGTCATCATTTATGTGCCCTTATCAACTGTGCTATGATGTTCTGTAAATATACATGATTATTACATTGTTGTTGTCAGCGGGCACATGCTATCTTGCATGTGCAGTTTTATCTGTAAATTAGAAATATATTATAAGAGCATAGTAATTACATATTTTGTTACTGTGGTTTTCATGTTTTTGTGTACTTTATATTCTGTGGTAGGTTTTTTGGTCCTGTCCTTCTTATTGCTGTTTGTTATTAGTGAGGTGGTATTAGAGTTTTCTGTTTTCTGGTTTCCTGAAAACGGGGGGCTTTTTGTGATATTATTACTGTAAATTGGAGTTGTAGGTATGTACCATATATGTCTATATAATTACTTGTTGGATTTCAATTTTGTTGCTCCTAGAATGATGTATTGCCTGGTTGCATTGTTGAGAGAGAAATGTGGTTTTCATCTGGTTAGGTTGGTTATATATTAGGTGGTGGGAAAGGGGTTTTTTTTGCCATTTTGTCAGGTGGTGGTGGGGAAGGTGGGTTTGTGAGTGGTTTATTATTATGTGGGTTGTATTTTATGATTAGTTCAAAATAGAGTTATGTGTGTCTGTGTATGTGTTGTTCATTTGTAGTTTTCTTGTACTAAGGTTGTGTATGTGGAACTGTTCTAGTGTAATTAGTAGGGGTCCTTTCTTTCGATATGAAGTATGTCAGTTTTTTCTTATTGTGTCGTGTGTCACAAATCATAAACCAGTAAACTTAACTAAATTAGGAATTGATCTTCATTTTACTTTTAGTTACTCCTTAATCTTAATGGTTTATTTTATAAAATAGAAAAAGATGGTTGTATGCCATAACATTGTGGGCTACTAGAAAATAGCTGTAAATGTAGATAATATAACATATGTTACACTCATAAAAGTCATGAAGTAACAGGTGTGTTTATTATTTTCAGCCTCGTTATATTTGCTGGGGATGTGACACCAGTGGAAGTAATGTGCCATCTACCTGGAGTGTGTGAGGAGCTTGATCTCCCATATGTTTATGTTAATTCACGCCAAGTGTTGGGATCAGCACTGGGTTTGAAACGAGGTTCACTGATGGTGCTCTTGAAAAGACATGATAATTATGGAGATTTATATGATCAAGTTGTTCAAATAATTGAGTCTCTACCTCCACCGTGGTAGAATTTCAGGACTGGTCTTAGTCAGTGGGAACTCAAAGGTGATGTGAACATTCAGCAAAACCTTGTCAATTTTATGTTCTGAATAGGATTGTTTGTTATATTAACATTAATGCTGACTTCCAGTGAAATAAATTGTATCATGTGCCCCTGAGCTTGTTAGCACAGAGGCCTGACCATAATGCCAGAGCCAAAACATCGTGATTTGAGGAGCCAGAGATCTCTGTCCTCTCTTTATAAGAGACATCTTTAACTGTTACATCTTGTAGTTATGAATAAGTAGTAGAAGTCTATGCTAATTCTGTTAAATTAGTTGCAGGTGATAGACCTATAATACTAATTTATAAGGGGCAGTCAAATGAAAACGGGTCACCACGCATAACTCACAGCGCGCAAGTTGGTGACACTGGAATTTGCTTATGGTATGAACATCTGGTGGGGACTCGGGAAAGCACAGTGACGTGCCCTTGCTCACTAGTTGTTTGTTTATTGTGCTGAAAGTAAGGTTAATGCTACATGTGGTCATCCAACATCAGTAATGGAGGTGGGTAAAGAAGAACAGTGAAGTGCAGTGCGCTTTTTGACTGCTGAAGGAGTAGGAGGACGAGAAATTCATTGTCGCATGTCTATTGTTTACGGCGAACACAGCATGTCATGATCACGTGTACTGTCGTGGCATAAGAGATTCCAAGAGGGACATGTGTCACTGCAAGATGATGCTCACCCAGGACAGGCTCATCGTGTCATCACTCCTGATGTTGTTGCTGCGTTGGATGGTCATATCTGGGCAAACCGACGTTTCACTGTGGAAGAAATTAGTCTTTTGATGGGAATAAATAACGGTTCCATACATGCCATTCTGACAAAACACCTGCTGTACTGCAAAATGTGCGTGCAGTGGTTTCCACATCAACAAACGTAGGAACAGAAGACTCAGAGAATGGCTGCATCACTGGGTCACTTGCAACGATACCATGAGGAAGAGTATGCTTTTCTGTCCCATATTGCCACTGGGAACAAAACTTGGTGCCACCATTTTGAACCAGAGAGCAAATGGCAGAGCCAACATGGAAACACGTGAATTCTCCCTCACTGAAGAAATCCATAGCTGTACACACAAGTTATGGTAAAGTGATGATGTTCTTCTTCGACTGCAAGGGGTCTCTCCTTGTTGAATTTCTCGAGCATGGGGCCACAATCAGTGCACAGCGCTATGAAGACACTTTGCAGAAACTGAGACGTGCCATAAAGTCAAAACGCCCTGGAATGCTATCGAACGGCATTATCCTTCTTCATGATAATGCGCGCCCCACACTGCCAACTCTGCGAGGAATACGCTATAGAGATTTGGTTGGGAAGTGCTTCAACATCTCCCTATAGCCCAGCTCTCTCCCCATGTGATTTTCACATTTTTGGAGACCTGAAGAGAGACATTCGTGGACATCGGTTTGCATCGCATGAAGACGTGTGTGGCTGGGTAAAGATGTGGTTCAATAGACAGCCCACAAGCTTTTTCAAGTATGTGATTGACCGTTTTGTCTCCCAGGGGGATAAATGTATTAACAGTTTTGGAGATTACTTTTGAGGCAAGAAATGTTCTTTAATATGTTTTGGATTCTGACCCTTTTTCATTTGATTGCCCCTCATATATCTTCATCCTGTGTTAGCCAAATCTAAACATAAAATATATGGTAGGATGATTCCTCCTGCCCGCAATGCCTGCATGTGACACTTTTTGAGAGACCCATAACATATACCTCAGTGCAGTAGCCAGTAGGTTCCTAGACTTCACACGATGGCCTTTCAGTGAAGAGTCCCAACTGTCTCATGCCTAGTGCTGTAGTGCGATGTTCATGATGCCACTCCTTAATCTTGAGACTAACAACACATGGTGAAATTAAAATTGATATTTTGGGCCAAGGAATAGAGTACTCAGTTCTTCACTAGCCAAGGCTTCTGCATCCTCATTACCCTGAATTGCACTGTAACGAGACCATGCTCTGACATGACAGGACATGCATTGCCTGTTGACAATCCCAGCCAGTCTTTGATGTCATTGTGGATGCCTTAAGAGCCTACAAAGCTGGGAACACTGTGAAGTTCAAGTCACTGTATGGCTCAAGGTGAGTGCTGTCACCTGTAGTCACATGTTTGTACCCTACAGTGTAGCAAGTCAAGAGCTCTTGTACTTTAATTGAGGTAGTGTTTGGATAACTAGTCACAGAAATCTATTCCATCCCATCCTGGGATGGATTGGACTCTAGGTTTTTAATTACAAAGTGGAGTTCTTGAATTGTGTAATTTGAGTCCAGGAATGGATCCTGATTATCATGGTCGGCTGCCGATGGTTGATTGGGTTCATCCACACCTGAGCATAACTTTTTAAACGTTTTGGTGGAATTAAGTAGTTCTTTATATTCGTGTTCCCTTTCTGTCTTGTTGAATCTATACTTTAGTCTTCTCATTCTGTCGTAAATGTAGGATGGATTCGTGAATTTATCTATTCCCTCGCAGAAAGTTTCCCAGTGTTATTTCATTTCTCTAACATATAGTAACCGAGTCATATCCCGTAGAATATCATAAGGTATGACAATATTTCAAAAGCAGGGCTTGTTGCATTATCTCTACCACGTGATGTAATTGCATGCGAACTGATGAAAGGGTCGGGCTTGATGTTTGCATCTGTGATAGTTTCTGACGTTGACTCTTCGCTGACCTTGTTGAGCCCCAAGACACTCGAATGTTACTGGCGAGCAACATGGTTAGCATGCCTGCACAAATACGTTACTGCTGCCATCTCTATGCATGATTCACGAACTAAATACAAAATGGCCGAGAGCATAATTGGTGGAAGCCACGTGTTCCTCCGAAACGCGCCCAAACTTTTTTTTTTTTTTTTTACCCGATAGTACTGCGTTGTATCGCAGAAGATAAAACATGTGATACATCGGGACAAGTTGCATATACTTAGTAGATTCTAAAGGGTTCTGTAAAAACATGTCCTATCATGACCCAAGCGAAAACTGCGTGTGCTCGTTATGTGATCAGTTCTGCGATGCATACCACATCACAAGATGTAAAAACAACCATAAATCTCTGTGTGATTATAGCAAAGGCTAAAACCCAGAATCTGTGTAATGCACATTCGTGCGCTTTTCTGTTAATAATAAAGGGTTCTGACGAAAAATCCAGTAATTATGTTTGCATGTACTTAGTATAAGCAACTTCGAATCCGGAATTTAGATGTCGCTAATGTACGGTTAGTACAATTAAAAAAGAAGTCTTTCTGCATTGCATTAACTTGTGTATAGTTCAAGATATGGGTATCGATGTGCATTGTTCTGAAGTGATCCATAATGTTCTGCTTTCGTGTTTTCATATTTGTCCGAAAAAGCTGAGAGAAAGGAAACTAGAATGTTGCTGGAGCTGGAATATCACATTTATCTATCTTGGGTGCATACTAAATGAATTGGGGGTGGGGGATAATGGAAGAATCATATGGTTCTGATATATGTGGATTTCTGGAACCAATAAAAATATGAATATATTAAGATGGTGCAAAAATAAAATCGAGCACGTGAGACGTAATAATCGATAGATTTGGTTTTGAGTTCAAGATTCTGGATATTCCGAGATTTGGAAAGCGTATTTGTACTTGACCAATACAGTGGTTTAAACGAGTAGTTCCCACATTTAATGGATATTTAATCACGTTAAAATTTATTTCGATACTTCATGTTTACGGTGAAGTTTCTAAAGTTATGTTTAGCATTGGCCATCGCTCTGCTGTAATATGCACTTGATCGATGAGATGAACTCTGCAAGGAAAGTTAAGTGTGTAAATTGTGCTTCTCTTATCCTTTATTTATTTATTTATTTACATGTAATTGTTTCCTACTTGACACATGTGGTCTCTTGTACTCTGTGTTTATTTACTCACCAAAATGATTAAGGCGGAAGGGGTGATGCACACTGAGCGCATTTTATCGGCCGGTTTATGTAATAGGTCTGCTTTTGATGTGCACTTCTGTTCGTATGTTCTTATGTAATGACTAGCATTACTGTGCGTTCCTAACTGTGGGGTAGCGGAGGGGTCAAAGTTCATGGCAGTTAAAAGTTACAAGTTTTTTTTTCTCACTGATTGCTGTTGGCGAAATCGAGGGTGTAGTAGTAGTTTTAGTGTATGGTGCACATAAATTGAGTTAAAATTTTTGTGAGGCGGATTATCGTAGGCGTATTCGTGTGGTAATTGGTAATTTGGAAAACGATTTTGAAATGATCAAGGCATTTAAGGCTGTAATAATTGGTGCTCCGGCGTCTGGAAAGGGCACAATTTCCTCTAGAATTATTAAATACTTCGAAGTGAAACACGTGTCAAGCGGGGATATTCTCAGAAGTCACATGTCCAGGAACACAGGTAAGTATGTAACAGGATTGTATGTATGCATTAAATTTGAAGAAATCACAAAATAAAATTTAAAAGCTGATGCTCAGAAATATTGAGGAATACCACTCTTTTCAGATTTATACAAAATTTGATCTTGCGCTCTTGTTGCAAGGTTAACTTAATACAAGAAGAAATAAGCGCCTTCAGTGTGGACTGTAAGGGAAAGGTAAACAATTGAGCAGATAACCTGCACTCTTCAGATAATGGAGAAAAATTGATAAGAAAACAATACACATGTTTTTTTATTGCCAAGAAGGCCTATGAGTAGGAGAGAAATGTGCTTGGAAGATCTAGGCATAGACAGGAGGCTAATATTAAAATGAATGTTTAAATAGTAGGGTGTGTGGATGCAGAGTGTATTCATCTTGCTGAGAATAATGTCCATTGGTGGAGTCTTGTGAACATGGTTATGAACCATCAAGTTCAAAAATGGTGTTGACCCTCGACTGACTGTAGGTATATCCATACAAATACTAAAGGTAGCTAATTCACATCATAGTTACATTTTGTTTTCTCTGTTTATGTTGCAGATTTTGGTTTGAAAGTCAAGCAGTATGTTAATAAAGGTCATTTGGTTCCAGATGAACTTATGATTTCTCTTATCAAAAGTGAATTGGGTTTGTTGAAAAATAATAACTGGCTTCTGGATGGTAAGTGCTATGTTATTGTGCTCAATGTTTATTGAACTGTAATGGGCATCACATTCTTTGTTTGGTAATTTCAATAATTTCAGTGGCTATTAATCAAGATCTATCATGTATGAAGGAATTTCTGGTAAGTATTATTGTACAGGGTGTTTTTTAATAAAATTGAATGTGTTCACAGCCCTGAGCCTCACGGGCTGTGAGCCACTAGCTGTGAAGGGCATGTATATATTGCCAATGACTCAGCCTGCCGATAACATTTGGAATGAAGGGAAGTTCTTACCTTTATTCACAGATCACAGGAGATGTTGAAAATGCCATCCGTCTACATGTAAATATCTTTCACAATTAATTGTTTCGTTAAAAAACATACATACTACAATCCTTCTTGCACTTACAGCACACCAGACACCAACTTTCACTGCATGGCTTCAGCAGTTGTGTTGCCATTCTTCGACTAGACCTTGACACTCCAGTCTCTCTTGAGCTAGACATTTCAGTGATATTATAGGTGTATGTTCAGGTCTGGCCCTCGTGTCATATAACATCTCCTCAGTAAGCACTTGGTGCTTAAGACTCCCATTGTTCAAAGTTTATTCAACAAATTATGAATTGTTTGTCTGCTGGGGACTCTTTCATCATGAAATTTACATTGAACGTTTTGCTGACATTTTCCAGCAGATCCATATTTCACATAGGTGTCATACAGAAATACACATTGCTCTAAAGTATCTCAAACTATGTTGTGCCACACTGCTGGCTGTTAACTGGGAACAAATGGGTCATGGTGCTGATAACTACTGCCTACTGCTGACAAATCATAAACTCCACATGCATGAACTGCACTACCCACTGTATAACATAATACTGTGTAGAGGTCTACAAGTTAACTTTTCCTTCATTCCATATGTTATCAGCTGTCAGGCATGCTGAGTCATCAGAAAAATTTGCATGCACTTCGAAGCTGGCAGTGGACTGGTTGAGATGAAACGCAGAGGTGTGAACTCATCAATAGCATTAAAAATGTCCCTGTATAAATTTTATGGCATGCAGTAGTGTAGTTGGTTGATGCAATATGCTACAAGCCAGAAGGTCGTGGGTTCAAGTCCCGATGAGGTCATTGGATTTTTTCAATTGACCTAATCCTTCCAGCTGCACTATGGCCATGGGGTCAACTCAGCCACTAACAGAATTTAGTACCAAGAATATTCTTGGAATATTCTTTGGGGTAAAGGGTGGCGGGCACGTAGGGCTGACAACCTTGCCACCATCTATGAGGCAATTGTCTAGAAAATGTGGGAACCTCAACCCTATAGGCTAATGTAGAATGGAACATTACAAGAAGGAGCCCAGAGGTGAAGTTTCAAAGCATTAAAAGCCAAAACTATAATATAACAGATAAGACAATAATAGACTTGATACCAGAAACAGAATTTAAAAAGTAATATGAAGAAATGCCAATAAATGAGGATGAGATCACCTAACCAGTACATCTGAGGTGTATGATTTCAATGAAATTGTGCTCAGAAATTATGAAACTATACATTTGTAAATAGTACTGATGAGGGAAAAATTGTGTATGAATATTAAAAGTCAAAGAATAAGCATGTATACTACCATAGTCAATAAGTTCGTGGACTGACCACAAAGCATCGTTCAGTTCAGCCCTGTCAGTTCATCTCTCATCACAGCAAGAGGCAATTGTGTGCAAACAGTGTAAGCAAAACTACTACCTCTATTTTGAACTGCAGTTAAATGCAAGTGGCAGAAATAAAAAAATGTGGCAGTTTGAACAATGGGCAAATATGAAGTTCTGCCAGAAACTAGGCAAATCCCTTGCAAAACGTTTGGTGTAGGAAGAATTGGCTGTTGCTACATGACAACGCTCCTGCACATCGCTCTGCTCTTGTCCAAGAGGAACTGGCAAGGCAACAGGTCATTGTTTTACCACACCCTCTGTACTCACCTGATCTCGCACCGTGCAATTTCTATCTCTTTCACCGCTTGAAGGCAAAGCTACGTAGTCATAGATTTCAGTCGTCCGAAGAGGCCGTCAGTGCCACAAGAGATGTCATACGGGAATTTCCTGCCAGTATGTTTCAGCAACGTTTTTGGCGGCTATATCAGTGTTGGCAGACTAGCATAGCAACCAGCGGAAACTGTTTTGAGGGCCGATGTTTAACTGTGTATGTGAATACCTTGTAATATGATGCAATAAAACCACAGTCCACGAACTTAAAGACTGTACCACGTGTGTGTGTGTGTGTGT